CGCCTTGTTGTGCGCCCACCTTTGCGAGAGAGTCTGCCTTCTCTTTGCCTGGGATTGAGCAATGTGAGGGGACCCCAACTCCCCGGCAAGGTGACAGATAATCTTAGTTTCACGTACCCACTTGCAAATAGTAGATGTCGCCACACAACGTAAACAAAGGGACTGCCCTTCACCGCCGCAATGGTATTTCTCTATGGGAAGGCAACTTTTTGTTTCACCATGTGTGGATGTCAAGCAACAAGCAAGAATGCCATGTGAAAAGAGCGATTTATGATTTTCGTGGTGAAATGAAATAAATCCAAACAAATTGGAACAGATTGATGGAAGTTTTTCTTATATAATCAAATAGAAATAAAAACACATTGGTTGATTCTATTATATTTTGCTCTTGAATATTATCAGTCTTGAGAATAATGTTTCTGAGCATACTTGTGCGGTGAAGACTTGCAATAAAAAGCCGTATTATTAAAAACAGTTTACTTCCCCATCTTTCTATTGAGGGGTGAAAAAAAAATAATACAAAATTTATTCTTATTCGCGGTGAGTAGCAGGTTTGCTGTGTGAACACTAACATTTCGTATATTCATTCAAACATGAAGAAATAAATAAAATAAAAAAAGATATTCATAATGAGCTTCTAAAACAAATAAATTTCAGTGATTGTCTTTTGTTACACCCGTCCGTTTAATTAACATTGTTCCCCACCAACTTGAAGTTTCAAGAAACAGATGAGGCTATCTGTTTTTATGTTCAGTATTTTATTTACTTTATTTACATATCTGCATTCGCCCTATTCAGATAACACTTCTGAAATTTGTGAGTTTGACAGAACCACCAGCACCAAATTTTCGGAGTACACTGGAAATGTACTGGACTTGTCAAGTTGCCCCCGGGTTGGGGGACCCACACAAAGGTAATCATATATAGATAGAGCTGGAATTAGGGCTTAACAGCTTTTGACTTCTCTTCATGATTTCTCGAAAATCTACAACACCATCGATTAGGGGAAGACTTCCCCTACCTGATGGATATGTTGGTTTGTGTAGGCGTACCTTGAATTCCTAGAAATCATTGAGATAATTCATTGTTTACAAAAGCTGCTACGCCCTAATTCCAGCTCTATCTAGATATATGATCTTTCGACCAGCAAACTCATCTGCTCCATTACCTTTGAAAGAAAATAAGATGAGTGCCTACCTTGTTTCATCGGCCGAATAGCCTCAATCGAACTGAGATTATCCGAGAAGATGAAGTAATGGTCTGTGGGCATGTCGGAAATCATCCCCAATGCGAAGTTCATTGCTGCTAGCTCAGTAACATAAACGGAACAAGGTTCCTGAAGTTTCCGGAAGGCAGTTGAGTATTCATTGAATACACAGAAGTCATTGGATCCATCAATGCGTGATCCATCAGTGAAAAATCTTCTATTGCAATTGACTTGTTGGTACTTTTCAGCAAAAATACGGGGAATTGAGATAGGTCGAAGTTGGAACTCCTTGAATAGCCTGTTTCATGGAGAGATCGTAGTCAGCAAAGGAACTGTAGTTAGTAAAGCGTACACGAGGGGGGTTGTAGCACGGAGCACGACACATCTAAATCTTATTTCTAGAGGCTCAAACAATCTCACACTAGCGAATCAATCTTCGAAAAATCTTCTTTCGTTTCTGGCATCTACTTGCAGCGCGCATCATCTTTTTGCAGGAAATCTTCAAAATCGTTATCAATCTTCTTTCTATCTACTCAGCGTGCGTGCAGCTAGCCACAGCAAAACAAATCTTTCCTGCAGCGCACAATGGTCCAAAAGCCGTATTTAGGAAGACAAAAATGTTTGCGCTAAAACCGTTGATTTTAGGCATATGGTGTCTTGGGGAAAGTTTCTTCATTTTTTTGGCCAATTTTTTTTATGTTAGTGAAATTAGGGTGGTCCATAAAATTGGTGAATTGAAAATGGGAACTTTTTTATTATGTGAGATAGACCAGTGCAATGTTCTAGAAAGTTGCAGAACAATCAATTTGCGGCACCTTTGCTCAAGCCACCAAACTTTCATCTCTTATGGTTCATGAGTTATTTTTTTTTTAAACAATTAAGTTAGGGTGGCCCATGAAAAATTGGTTTTCTATGGATATCTTTTCATACGTTCATTTCTCGAAAAACAACTAAAATTGCTCTCGCAGTTTTCCCACCGTAAATGAACAAAATAATGATCTTTCAAATGGAATTAAAAACTTGAAAATCGGTTTGCTCCTTTTAGAGATATTGACAATTGAAAAAGGCCAGTTTTTTTTAAGAAAATCGCCTTTAATTTTCCAATAAAAAAAAAAAGATAGCAACTTGGTTGCTTCAGCAAAAATATTTGCCATTGAAAGTTCTAAAAGTGTCTAGAACATTTGTTTTCCGAGGAATGAACGTATGAAAAGATATTCATAGAAAACCAATTTTTCAGGGGCCACCCTAACTTGCTTGTTTAAAAACATCATAACTCATGAACCATAAGAGATGGAAGTTTGGTGGCTTGAGCAAAGGTGCCGCAAATTGATAGTTTTGCAACTTTCTAGAATATTGCACTAGTTTATCTCACATAATAAAAAAAAATCCCATTTTCAATTCACCAATTTTATGGACCACCCTAATTACATAACATAAAAAAATGGCCAAAAAATATGAAGAAACTTTCTGGAAGACACCATATTACTAAAATCAACGGTTTTAGCGCAAACATTTTTGTCTTCCTAAATACGGCTTTGGGACCATTGTGCAGCGTAGGTAGAGTCATACGTCCATTACGGGAGGACAAATTTTTGCATCCTTTTTCGACCACAGCACACTTTGATCTTTTCTCGGATCGAAACAAATACCTATTGCAAGCAGTGCGCAAAAAAGTCAGTTCAATGAGTCATTTTCATATGAATATAAACTGCCATCTGCCTAATCATTCACTGCCTCGTGAGAGTCTGAATGATTGAGAAGAAAACGAATCACAGCCGAGCACTCAGTGAGCACGTTTATTCTTCCGTGATGGTACCCAACAGACTTGGAAAAACACCCACCGGCACTGCGAGCCGTGCAAGAATATTGCTCCCCATTCAAAGCTAACACGCACTCGGTTTCGGTACCTCTTGTCGGCTCGCCACCGATACGAACAAGAAACCTGAACCCGGAGCCGTTTTATTCGGCTTGGTGCCGTGCTATCGTTATTCGGTGCGCTCCGTGCGGCTCCGTCCCAGGGTCCGGTGTCAGACAGAATACCGTGCTTCTTCTTTTTTTTCATTATCGCAGTCTACTTGTAGCTATTTTTTTTTCGTTCCTTTTCTGATTGACCTTTCCGGTGATACTGTACCTCTTTACTCCTATGGGAAAACCCCACAAAAAACTGTCATTCTGTGCGTGAAGCATGGCGGGCTGTCCCGTACTCTGTCGCTCAAATGAAAAATCTCAATGGGGTTGTTCATTAACTACGTATACAAATTTTAAAATTTGTATGGACCGTGGACAATAATTTTCAACATTTCGAAAATGGTCAACACATCCGTATCCGAACGGACCCTGTTCCTGTCGAGAGAAATGACAGACGGAATTAAGATCGCGTTTTAAGTTTGCTTCGCACCATGGATTCTTATGTAAAGGGAAAACCTGCTTGCCCATTTTTCTAAACTATTTCAGAACAAATTTTTTTGAGTTCATCGAATATAATTAAACTATGAGCTACTTGCTACCACTTCCATTGAAAAACTCAGTTTTGACAAAAACACAAATGGGACACAGCAAAAAAAAAAAATGTAATATCGATCAACGTAATTCAAGCTGATGTATGAAATAATGATGTAATAGCAAAAAGCAGATACAATATTACATCAATGGATGTAATTTTGTTCGCAAAATCGATATACATCGTACAATGTGATATTACACAACCGATGGATTGATGTGGTTGCATCAGTTTTGATGTAATATTCAACAACTTTTTTTGCTGAGTAGCGCACCAAAAACGAACGATACGAAATCATGTGCGGGGTTCGTTGGCTCTGTACCGCACGGTGGCGAGCCGAAGCCCATAGCACCACGTTCGGGTTTCTCTTTTGGTTCGGTGGCGTGCCATCATGTTGCACCGACACCGGGTGCTTTATCGAAGAAACCCAGTGCTGTGCATACATGGGTAGGTTGCCACCGAGCCGCATCGAGCGGTGTTTTTACCAAGTCTGGTACCCAATCCTTGTTTTGAATAACTGAGCGTACATTTTCTATGGAGAAATGCCTCAATTACATGTTGTGTAAGCGAAGGCAAGCGTTGTAAGTCGCCTGTTCGTGAGTGACTGAATGCTTTCACACTCAGCCTAAGCAGTCAATAATTTTACTCTCTGGCAATTTGCAAGCATTCAGTTCAATCAAGTGAACGGCAAAAAATATTTCGAATTTAATTCTGAAGCAACAATAGAAAAGGGCACACCAGCATTTGAAAACAAAACGATCCGAAGCTCTTTGTTCGCAAAACGAAGGGCGCCCACGCAAACTAACATCACCATCGGATCGGAAGTTTCTCCTATACAATGATGATGTTGGTTCGTGTGGGTGGCCTTCTATTTCTGAAGAACGGGCTTTAGAACGGTCTGTTTACAAATACTGATGGGACCTTTTCTATTGTTGCTCCAGAATTGTATGCTACTACAACTGACATTTCCACATTTGCAAATGGGATAGACTAGCAATTTTATACCCCATACAGACTATGGCTTATATCATGTAATATAGGCTGTCTTGCAATGAGCACTAATACATAGCATTTCCAGTGAAAACTAGATGTATGAGTGTTCATTGTAAGACAGCCTATATTACATGATATAAGCCATAGTCTGTATGGGGTATAAAGCTATTCCACAGATTAAAATCGGAGTTGAAGTAGTCAGTTGGCTCAAAATCTCCATAATGAAGCTTAAAAAACACAGTTTAAAATGTTTAGCTGTATTACTATAGGTATGGATTTCTCTAAAACAAGATGCGAATATGTTCAAAAGATGGTAAAGTTTAATATTTACTGCAACGTATCACAATATCCATCCTTATCTATGTTTGATTTTGAATATGTAGTTTTTGATAACATGTTATTAGATATAGATTCCACTTCTTTGGCAACGTTTCCATGATGTTATCACTTTTTCCCCAAGCTAAAATTCAATTACCAATTATAATGAGTTAACGATTACAATAATGCTATCGAATATTGAATAAAATAAAAAAGCAGATTTTTCACGAGCAACGTCCACAACCACCACTTTTTTTGATTTTGACCGTTTCGCACTTTCCTTACAGCCAACCAGTCTTCGGCTGCCGCTTGACCGTCTTTACATCGGCGATCCTATGGACCGGGCGCAGACATACAGGCGAAGACGCAGCCCGGGCAGCGTCCGCCGATGGATCCTTGTCGCCACTGCCGATGAGCTGCTCGGTGCTCGAAGTCACATCGGTCAACTGTTCGGACATGAGCTCCACTTTCACCGCGGGGGGTGTTGGTGATGTCGTCTTTGGTGGGAGAGGAGGTGATTGAGGTTTAGCGGCAATCGGAGGTGGAGACTTTTTGGGAGTGGCACCGAGGTTCTTGGGCACGGGAAGTGGAGTTGCCGGGGTGGTGGAAAGTGCTGGGATGGATACTGCTGGTGCAGATGGAGGCTCTTCCTTGCTTGGAGGAGGGGGAAGCATTCCCTGACCCGGCTGGGGCTTGGCAGCAACCGGGCGAGATACGGTAATGTCTCCAGCTTGTGAAGCATCCGGAGTAGACGGTGCAGGAGACTTACGTTTGATGACCTTTGGTGGTGAGTTGACTCCGGCAACAAGAGGGGAAGGATCGTCAGAATGAACCACAGCTTCGTCTGGTTTCACCTCAGATTTATCTGATTTTGGTAGAATCGGTGAAGAGGGCTTCGAAGTTAGAGGAGTTGGTGGTTTGATCTCGATGGATGGTGGCACATCAACAGCACTTTCCTTGGAATCGGATTTCTTAACCAGCTGCGATTCGGTACGGGTGACACGGATCACTGGCGGTGGGGACTGAATTGGTGGAATGGGAGACTTGGCTGGTTTGGGAGACATGATGCGTGGAGGAGAGCTTATCTCCAGGGAAGTTTTCTTTTCAATCGGAGTAGACGGCTCGGGAGACGGTGACATGCTATCGTTTATGGAAGCCAATGGAGTCTTGCTTTCATGCCGAGGAGCTGGCGATCTATTATGGCTCAGACTGCCGGCTGATTTGCCATCTCCTGCCTTAGTCGACTTCATCATCATCGGAGATGGACTCTTGCTGAGAACAGCCTGTAACTGAGCAGTTAGCATATTCAAAGGAGTCGCCGCACGACTATTCATGCCCATGGTATGCAGTGTATTTCCCGGTGAGACAGCACCTCCAGTTTCCTCTGCAAGTTGGTTAATCAACTGCAACAGTGTATTGGTGGTCTCATCTTCGTAACTATCGATCATGGGAGAGGCACTTCGCGAGCGAGCCACAGGGCTGCGTTCTACCAGACGACGAGCTTCGTTCATAGCCTTTTGCAGATTTTGCTGCTGGCGGAAGCTATCACGGTTCTTGCACCGACCAATCTGTGAATTGGTTTCTATTCCTACGCCGGACATGACCTGACCCCACTTGGCCGAGGTCGTTTGATTGGCAACCTTTTTGGCCACACGACGGAATCTAGCCAACGGGTTGGCATCTTCTTCCTCGTCTTCCTCTTCGAGAACGTTTTCTTGCATATCAACCGGCGCCACGTGGAAGTCCTTCATCAGACGACGCTCCCAGATCTTCATGCGCTTGGCGAGCACGGCTGCGAATAGCAAATAATGATCAATGTACAATACAATAAATACCTATCCTCTAAAAAAGCGTAATAACTCCGACGTCATGCGGAACCCAGAGCGCACAACTTACCCTTCTCCTTACGATCAGCCGCCGAAACATCCATGCCGTTCTTCTCGAAGATTTCCAGCAGCTCGTAACGCATCGCCGAGATTTCGCCCTTCACTTCGTTGATGTCATCCTCGGTGACGGCATTCTCCTCCATCTTGCGATGCATGGCCGATACATACCGCCAGACGAGCGATCGCATCACATTGGTGTACCGCTCGGCGCGTTCCTTGTCCTCTCTGCGGCGCTAATGTTGATAGAATCACCGTTTAAAATAACCTTGATAACGATTTCCCCTGTAACTATACTCACAATAGTCGACTCCCGCTTGATGTCCCGCTTCTTCTTCTTGCCACACAGCCGCATCAGGTGCTTCATGTTCGGGAAGATGTTGAACGGTGGCGGAAGTGTAGAACTTTCTTCAAAGTAGCTCATCCAGAGCCGGGTGCGAGCAAACTTCCACTCCGTGTCTGAGTGTTCATCAATCATGGCATACGAGTTGGACATCATAGCGATAAGCAGGTTCAATAGAACAATTACGTTGATCACACTGTATGATCCAAACATGAGCAGACCCCAGAACCGAGTGTACGACTTGATGCCTGTCAGTTCGAAGCTCTCCAGCCCAACCATACCGAAACTGGCCCAGAACAGTGACTGCGATGATTCAAATAGGCTGAAATTGAAATTCTAAAGTCAGAACGAGAAAACGAGAATCCTTCATAGCACAATCGATCATACTTTCCAAAACGTCTCCATTTCATGCAAGCGTCCCCTTGATTATCCCAATCCGGTAGTCCTCCCTTTAAGCTGTAACATTTCACCTTTTCCAAATCGGCAAAGTACCACAGCAGCTGGTTCAGACCTTAAAAAGAACAGCCGACCTGAGATCGAGGGCAAGCATTTTACTAAATCTCCATACATACCACAGGCGAACGCAAACAGAACCAACGAGTAGATAAAGAAGAACTTGACAATGTCGATAACCATTCGGCCTAGCGAGATCTGCAGTGGCCCAAGATGTGGATTGATTGAGAACAGATGAATCAGCTTCAGTGCCGAGAAGATGTTGGCCGCAGCAAACAAACCTTCCGCGATCAGTTGAGGATCGAAGTCATCCCAGTGTTCTCGAGCGATGTAAGCCGTGCTTGGGTCGTTGTTGATTTCCGAAGTCTGCTGAATGTAAGCGATCACTCGAAGCAATGTGACACAGCAATACAAGAAGTTCCTGGAGAAATCGATAAAGTTCCACATGTTCTTGAGGTAGTTGCGGATGCCTTCGACGAAGATTTCCTGCGTTTCTTCCCATATGAAGCCCATCACGTAGACCACCACGAGGCACTCCAGGTAAGTTGGACCGTTGCCTCGCTGTCGGGCCAACTCCTCCTGTAGCGCTCGTTTCATACTATCCGTTCCGAATAAAAGTACCACTTGTACTTCCGCTCGTTGAGATACCAGAATCAATAGGAACAAGAAAAATAGATACGATGAGGCGTGGATCAAGAACTTCATGAATGGTTTTCTCAAAAACATGGCCGTTTCACATGTCGGTGCAATCATGTACATCATGCAGTAGAATGGGAACAGAATGGCCACTTTTAAAATGATCCCAATCTTCTCCATTGCGGTTTTTCGTCGGAAGCCGGGAACGCCTTCATACCACATAGCGGCCAGCAGTTGCTGAATGTTTGCGTGAGCCACAAATTTCTTCTGCTTGTAGTCGATAGCCAGCTCCAGTCGGGTCAGTTTCATGTGATCACCGTCCATGTAAGGAGGTGATTCCGGGTCGTAGTTCAGAATGATGGCCAGTTCCTGAGAGCTTCGTGATTGATCCAGCAGATCCACAGCAAAGCCCTGACACTGGCGACGAAGCTCTAGGTATTGAGCTTTGCACTCCTGTTCGGCGAAGGCCAAGTTCCGGAGCTCCCAAGACAGTTGGAAAGCCGTGAGCAGAGGATCCTGAGAGCTGAGCGCGATCAAGGAAGGACTAGCCAAGGCACGATACTCGTTGACACGGGCCAACGAGTGGCGAAGCGAATCCTCCGTCGAGCGACGGATACACTCGTCGCAACCGCACCTAGGCGAATAGTTGTTCAGAATTATCAGCTTGAAATACATGAACTTGATGATCTTACTTGACATCGTGAGGCATCGGGAGCGTTGCGCCACGATCCAGGAGGATCTTTAAAATTTCGTAGTTATTCTTGTGGGCAGCCAGCATCAGAGGGGTGATATCCGGGGTGAAAAGGGCCGTATTGATGTCCACTTTTTGCCAGCTCTGTACGAATCAACACCTTTAGATTAATACATTTTCTCATTATCTGATTGGCAGACATTCTTACATAAGGTTCACCGTCCTTGTGGATTAGTTCCTCGTGCTCCAGGAGTAGCTCAACGGCTTCGACAAACTCGGCGTTTATCGCATGCAGCAAACCGTCCTTCGTCTCCACCTGCATGATGATGAGCAGTTCGACCATCTCCAGGTTTTCGCCATCGATGGCCAAAGTGAGGGCACCACGGCCCAACGGGTCCACACAGTTGATGTTGATGTGGTGACGGCGGTGGGAACGCTGGAGGATCCTGGAAAAAATATATCCAAAAGGCTCGTATTGAAGTTGGCGCATTTGTACCCCTTGATTTTGACCACTCTCTGGTTTTGACTTCTTTGCTTTCCACAAATTTTAATAATTGCAAAATCGATTATCTGGACATGTCCGAAGTATCACAACTATCCGGACATTTTAAGAAAAATATTAAAGAAAGATTAAGATTTTTTGGAGAAGTGTTACCAAAATCAAATGGATACTATTATTGTGAACAAGTAGAATGTTACGTTGCAGTTACTGCCTGGAGTCGGTGTATAATGAGTCACGCCAAGAGTGAAGCCAAGTCTACCTATGCTCTGAACCATTTGATGGATTATTTCAACTTTTGGTTAAAATTTGACAGATGGAAAGTTATCGATTAACCCTGCTATCCGAGCATGGTTATTTCTGACAAACAAGAAGTTAAATTTTGACAACCGTGACTCGAAATCATGTCGACCGACAGCACGAGGATTTTCGAACACAAATAATAACTTTCGAAATGTCACTTTTAACCACGAGTTAAATTTAACTCAGCAAATGGTTCACAGCTTGAGGGGCGGAAAAATAGCTTGGATTTTACAAAACTAATACACAGATCGAAAATAAATTTTGGCAAACATGATGAATTTCTGTTCGAAAATAATTTGATCGATAATGTCGATAATAGGGTATGGAACTACTTCGTCATGCTTCACTTCGCATCGACACACCCCCCTAAAATGGATAATTAGACATCCATGTAGAAATTACTGTTGAGCAAAGAATTTGATGCTTTTTTTTTTTTTTTTTGTCTTTATTTTAGAGATTTTTAGCCTGAGGCTAGTTCATCTCTTAGAATTTGATGCATCAATGTTAGACGTAGCTGAATGTCTTAATTGGTTTTGAGGTGTATGAAGTAAATGGGTCCCAAAGTAGTGCTCCTCCCACCGGGAATGTTTGGGGTTAATTTTTGAACTGTCACTAAGAAGCTGAACAACCACCGACGAACCGACATGATTCCGGAGCACAGGCTTAATGGAACTCCTCCATTTAAATGATCTTTATTTCTTGTGATTGTGTGGTTTACATGTATGAATTTGTTAAGTGACACAGATGCGTCTTTTCAACTTTGGTACATTTGAGATTTTAATTATTATTTACAGTTCCTAGTCCTATCAGGCCTATTTTAAAGTATGACCACCTTGGTGGGATTGGTTTGATTTGAATTGGAAAAAGGAGACTACTTATAACTACTATTTGCAACTACAACTAACCTACAACTACTATATACACCTAACCTACTATATACAAATTGCTTATCAAAGCATGTTCTGATAAATTACATTTTTGTGTAAATTTAGTCTTAATTTCGTTAATTTTGGAATCTATTTTGGCAATGCCTGCCTCTTCATGTAAATTTGTTATTCTAGTGTCGAAAGGACGATCAAGAACCATCCTCAGCACTCTATTCTGAGCTACCTGAATGTTGTTCCTGTGACATCATTGTGCCAGACATTATCAAACGCTTTCTCAACGTCTAACAATGCCATGGCTGTGGACTTGGATACATCTTTGTTACTTCGGATGTTATTCATCACCCGCACTAGTTGGTGATTGGTGGAGTGCCCCTTTCTGAACCCAAACTGTTCCGGAAGGAGAATGTTATTTTCCTCGACAAACTTGAGCAAACAATTGAGAATGAGTTTCTCGAACAATTTGCTCAGCGCTGAAAGGAGGCTGATTGGTCTGTAGCTTGAAGCTAGCGTTGGGTTCTTCCCGGGTTTGCGGATAGGTATGATTTTCGCTGTCTTCCAGATACTTGGAAAGTAGTGCAGTTCCAAGCATCTGTTGAAGACAGCAGCCAGCAGAGAGTGAACCTTCATGCTGAGATTTTTCAACACTAGGTTGAATATTCCGTCAAACCCGGGGGCCTTCATGTTTTTGGTGCATTTCAGCGCCGAGCAAATCTGTTCCACTGTGATTCTATCCTCCGGAGGGATGGCACAAGGGGAGGAATCAAGGTTGAGTACGCATTGCTCAACCTGAACTTCGAGCGGACTTTGGATGTTGGAGCCAAGCAAGTGCGATTTGGCAATATGCTCACCAATCGCATTTGCTTTCTCCTGAGGGGTAATTATGAGCCGATCGTCATCATTTTCATCTTTTAGTGGCGGAATGGGTTTAGGGTGCGTCTTTAAGACCTTGGCAACTTTCCAGAATGGTCTGGAGCGGTCGTCCAGATTCTGGACAAGCCGCCCGAAACTTTCGTTACGGAGTGAGACCATTCTGGAAGCAATCTCCTTGTTCAGATTGGCCATTTCACGTTTCCTCGCTAGATCTCCAGTCCTCTGAAACTGGCGTCTACGAACATTTCTCAGGCGAATTAAGAGTTGGGTGTGGGAATCAATAGCAATAAACTTACCCCTCACAGGAACTCGTCGGACGCACGCCTCGTCAGCCACGGTTATGGCTTGGTGGAGTACTTCCAACGCTCGGTCGATGTCCTCCACGGAGTCAAGCGGTGGGTTGTCGATGATGTGCCTGTCTACCACGCGTCCAAACTGGGCCCAGTTTACGCGATGGTAGTCCTTGCGCAGGCTTGGAGCAGCAGCTACGTTGTATCCCAGTTCAGCCACCACCGGTTGATGGTCGGAGCTGAGTTCGTTTAAGGCTACCGGCTTGGACAAGCCGGTATTTGAAAGAAACAGGTCTAGCGTCGATGGGTTGCCTGCCGGTGAGATGAATGTTGGCTCGTCCGAGAACCAAACGGAGTACAGCCCATGCTGCGAATGGTCGAACAGCAGACGACCGTTCTGGTTCTGCTGGTAGTTCCGCCATGCCTCATGACGAGCATTCAGATCTCCTCCAACAACGAAGCGGGAACCGGTACGGGTGATGGTGGACAGGTCCTTCTTAAATTTAGCCGCTAGTCCACTGCTGGCGGCACACTGTCGAGGGCAGTAGACGGCGATGAACTGGACGTATCCAGTCGACGACTCCACCTCCACACCAAGGGCCTCGATGATAGAGGTGCGGATATGGGACAGAGTGTGGTATTTTATTCCTTTCTTGACGACGACCGCAACACTACCCCCCCCTGGAGCTGGTGCGATCAAGCCGGATAATGTTGTGGTCAGGCAACCAGAAGCTGTCGCCGGACTTTAGATGGGTCTCGGTTAGAAGGCCCACGTCGATGCTGTGCTTGCGGAGGAAGTCGGCAAGCTCAATCTCTTTTGCTCTTACAGAGCAAGCATTCCAGGTGACGATAGTTAGCGGTTTAGACGCCATACTGGATGATGAACTTACCGAGCACCTGGATCTGTTCGGGCTTATTGCGGCACTTACGAAGAGCACCGGACATGTTGACGAAAATTTCCATCAGTTCATCCGCTGAGAACAGATCGGGGTTGTTGTTTTGCGCTGTTGGTTGTCTCCAGAATCCAGGGGGGGATGGAGAGCTTTGGCCAGCAAAATCACCGGAAGCTTCTTGAGGGGGGGCGGGTTGCACCCGCGAATTCGCTTGCCTTTGCTGGGGAGCACGAAGAGGCGGAAAATCCTCCGTCCTGAATGATGGGGTTTTGTCCTTCTTGCGTCCTGGTTGATTGTTGCTTGACGCCTGCTTTCGGATGCGTTTGAAGTCCTCGCGTTTGGAGCACTGTCTGTCGGAACCTTGATGTGCACCACCACAGTTAGCGCATTTTATCGCCACGGCTCCATCCGCAGGGCAGTTGGAAGTGGCGTGTTCTTGAGCGCAGTTGCTGCAGCGTGGCTTGATGTTGCAGTTGCGGGTACCGTGTCCAAAATTGAGGCACCTCATACACTGCGTTACGTCACGATGGCCGCCACGGTATGGCTCCCACCGTACGATGATGGAGTAGATCGATCGGATGGCTTGCAGCGCATTGAGAGTCACCGTCCCTTTCTGGAAGTGCACCAGGAAGAGGCAATCCGGGTATGTCTTCACGTTTTCGTCTCTCCTTGTCATTCGGAATACAGCGATTGGGGCTAGCTTGTACCGGTTGATTTCAGCTTCGACCATCTTGGGGTCGAAATTTGGTAGACCCCTGATGACTACCTTGAAGGGCTTCTCACCGGGGATGTCGTGCGTGAAGAATTCCGCCTTGGTATCCTTCAGATATTTCACGGCCACTTCGTACTCCGCTTTTGTTCGCAGCATCACCTTGGTGCCGATCCTGCCGAGCTTAAACTCAGCGGCAACGCCCAGCGATGAGAGATCGCCAATCAGCGTGTTGAGTGGTACTTGCTTCACCACCAGTGGAGGAAGCTTGATTTTCACCGCACTCGGGCCGGCAGAATTCTCGGTTTCGACGGCGTCGCCGAAATCACCGATGTCGCTGGCGTTCGTCGCGGTAACATCGTCGCGTCCGCTCGTACCATCGGACTGTCCTTGATTCTTCTTCCTCTTTTTCGTCCGCTTCACCGGGACTGGGTTGGTATTTCCAACATCGGTGGGAAGAGTAGCGTACCTATTCGAAATAGGTACACTCAAGCTACCCTCACCGCTGTTCTTCTTCTCCGTTTTCTCTCGGAGCCTGCTCCGGGAGCGCTGTCTTCCCATCACACGAAGCGACCGACACTACTGACGACGCGATTAAACTGCGAATGTTTGGAACAAACTAGAAACTTTAGAACAACTCGACAGAGCGAGCAAAGACCGAACTGTACTGCTTGACGTTCAAGCAGAGAATAATGGAACTCCTCACACCAACATGAGGTTATATAGCTGCTCTTGCCTCAATGAGTTTAAGTATAGCCTCCCCCTTGAGTGACTACAGAGAAGTTCATTGGACTTCAGAGAAGTTCTACAAACTTCAAACTTCAGGAAAATCCTGAAACTTTAAAAACGTGCTTTGAACTTCAGAGAAGTTCTTTAAATATTTTTAGAAAAGTACTGCAATCTTCAGAAAATCACTTCGATCTTCTGCAAACTTCCACAAACTTCAGGAAAATTCTGCAACTTCAGGGAGGTTTTGCGAGCATCAGGGAAGTTTG